AACGCCATTAACTATCTGAAAAGATGCACTTTACGGGTGAAGGGTTCAACCGTGAAATCCTGCGGCAGGGGGTTGACTGGTTGAAAAGCAGAAGCGTTCGGAAATAATGATTCCCGGGAATAGAGCTGACTGTCCCGCGAATAATCGAGAACTTTGCATTACGCTGAAATTAACCGACAGAACCGGCCAAGCCGATTTTTCTCCCATTCGAGATATCGCGGCGCCGTTTAATTGGTAAATTACCATGGACGATGGAATGTCTCGCGGTGGTTCTTTTCTCCGGCGCAACGTGACGGCTCAAGAATGCCGTGTAATTATTCTATGAATATTCGAAAATTCATGAAAATCCCGATAGAACAGCGCGGCGAGCTTCAGCGGACTAAATAACTCGATTACGTTAAATCTGCAAATGGCCAGTTAATTAGCGATTAATTCGTTGCTGAGAAAATTCGGGAACAAAAATAGAAGCGTACTTTAACCGAGCCCGATTCGTTCCTTCATAATTTATAATAGCGGATATGCAGCTGGAAATGTCCACCATTGGTTACGTGCCTGATTAATTATTTCCACCGACCGCTTTGACTGCGGTCGATCTCGAATGTATGCTTTTGGCGACTTTTTTCCCGGCCACGGCCCGATTTAAAAAATCACGAAGTTGTCGATTCACTGACGACGCGAAATGAAACTAACTTCTCGCCTTTTAAATATTAACGCGTCGATTTATTTATCGCGACTTCTAAACAAGAGGCGAATTTGCGGCAACGAATCGACAGCCGCCGGTGTAACACGTCACGCGCGCTCGGAGATTGCGTTTTTCCACGCGAAAATTCGGATGCTCGATTGAACCGCTTGGTTTCGAGCAACCGCGAATCTCGTTAAGGGATTTTCGCGATTAATTTGGGAACGGGGCGAATCGATGCTTATGCCAAGTTAAGTTTGCCTGGGTTCGTTCATGGTACAGATAATTATGCAAGTTTGCTACCCGAGGGATCGTTGAATTTTCACGGAACCTTCAAAACAGCGTGAAAAGTTTATGGTCTGTTTCGAACGCCGTGGTTTTATCGAGTAGCAAGAGGCGAAGAAACTATTCGACGCGAAGATCGAGGAATTATCCGAGAATTACGCGTGTCGAAGTATAAGCGAGGAGTGAAGGAAGATTGCGATCCAGGGTATCGACGGCATAGTTAAATAATGGTGCATAATTTATCGAGTAATTTATTAACGATATTAAAACGCGAGGATAGAAGCGCGTCTAGGTGGATATCGGTGAAAATCGATGAAAGGATTCTCGAGTCAGTTCCAAGGTAGATTGGGAGTGGTATAGACGACGGAGGCAGAGGCAGGGAGAGACAATGCCATCGGATAAACCCAGCTACCCGTTTGGATGTTGGAACCAACACTGGAGGTGTAAACCACCATGTCAGAAGGAAGACCCATGCTGACTCTTGCGTTTACTACGACTGGAACATCGGACAAGTTGATCAAAAGCGCCACGATGCTCAGTCCAAACCTACGAACAACGCCCAAGACGTTTCCGTTGACCACGGTAACGTTTAAGCTGCCACTCGCAATCACAAGCTTGTTCTTCAACGCGGTCAGAGCTTTGAACACTGCGTAGTGAGAAACGACTTGACGCTTCTGAGCTGCCAGGTTCAGGGTTCTGTAATTGCTGTTCACCGGGAGCCAGGTAAGCAATCTATCGGAAAATCCAGCGCTGGTGGTATTGTCCCATTGGTACGGGGTTCTTTCGGGGTCTCTGGATTTCAAGTAGTACCGGTTTGGACCGAGTCTGCAGCCGGCAACGTCGATGGTTTCGGCGTAGGTGAAATTCCTATCCTCCATTCCGATTTCGTCTCCATTGTAAATAACCGCCACGCCGGGTAGGATCATCGCCAGCATGGAAATCTGATCAGCTCGTTTGCTACCGAATCTCGTGGCCACGCGATGGTTATCGTGATTGCCCACGACCCAATTCGCTACGCTGTCCTTCGGTACGGTGCTCACCCACCTGTCGATCAGTCTTTTGAAGTCCGCTGCGCTCGATCGATTGTCCAAGTCCGTGATGAACATGAAGTTGAAGGGAACCGTGGACCCGGCTTCGTAGAACTTGACCATCAGCTCCTGCCTCGTGTACGCCTCCGTGAGGATCATCTTCGGGTCAGACCTGGTTCTATTCGAGTGTTCGTCCAGTAGCTTTCTCCAGCTTCTCAACACGTCGAAGTTCTCGTTCTGATCCCTCGTGTAAATATGGACCAAGCTGTCGTAATCGCCCTTGGGGAGATCGGTTCTGTTTGCGCTCGGTTCATTCGGAAACCTCGCGTCCTCGTACAAGTGATTCATGACGTCGATACGGAAACCACTTACCCCGCGATTCATCCAAAAGGACAACGCGTTGGATATCTCCTCTCTCAAGGCCGGGCTACGATAATTCAAGTCTGGTTGACCCACTGAGAACTGATGCAGGTAGTACTGCTGACGGACTTGGTTCCACTCCCACGCTGAGCCCTGGAAGTTGTTCAGCCAGTTGTTTGGCGGTTGTCTGGTCCCGTTAACGATACTGGCATTTCGCCAGACGTAGTATTCGTCGTAGGGCTTGATCCTTTGAATACTCTTCTTGAACCACGGATGTTCGTGAGAGCTGTGATTAGGCACGAAGTCCAGGATCACTTTGAGCCCGAGGGACCTAGCCTTGGTTACCAGCCTGTCGAAATCCGCCAGCGTTCCATAATCTGGATCGACGTCGGTATAGTTGGCGATGTCGTAACCGAAATCGACCTGCGGACTCTTGTAGATCGGCGACAGCCATAGAGCGTTCGCGCCGATGTCAGCGATATGCTCCAGCTTGCTGCTGATTCCATTCAGATCGCCGATCCCGTCTCCGTTGCTGTCTTTGAAACTCCTCGGATAGATTTGGTACACGACGGCATTTTTCCACCAAGTGCTGTTCACATCGGCGCTAACCGCGAGTAGTAGCGAGCACGCGATGATCGTCAGTCGCAACATGTCTGACTGCGAATTACGCAGGGAAAGTCACGTCGTCTGCTTATAAATCCGAGCGATTATCAGTTTATTCGAACACTTTAGCTATTTATCTAATTGCCACGATTAGATTAACAAAAGATGATTTCGTATTAGGTAAGTAATAGCAATCGCGATAAGATAGTGGGGTACTTCGCTGCTATCGTGCTAGGTCGTACGATCGTGTTAGATTTTTCATTCCCCTCTTCGCTCTTCCCGCAATCGCGGAAGTTTACTCGTCGATGTTTACCGCGTCTCCAGATTTTTCCCCGACTACGCGATCGGAAATGCATCGTCGTCTAGAAATCTTGGACGATGGAAGATCGTCCGATGGAAGATGCGATAGACGGCGTACACGGTGTCCTACGTCTGCCGCGTGGCGATAAGATTTTTCGAGGTGTACAGCCAATCGGGAAACGAAAAAACACTTATGGCCTCGCGTTCTCGCGTGTACGAGGCGTTTATGCGTGCTAACTTCTATCGTGGCCCGACTAATTATACGGCCAGACACGCTCCGGCAAATCAGTTTCTTACTTTCTTTTTAACCCCGGCTAATTTAAGCCTCGTACGAAACCCGAGTGCCTCTGTCGCGAATAAATTCGCCATTCGTCAGAGTGGTCGGGAGCTTTCCCCACTCGTGTACCTGCGGAGAATCGATTATCGACGCGCGAACGCGAGGTACGTGGAGCACGTCCAGTTTCATTTTCGAATTCTTTTCGAAAGATCGAGTCTGGATAGGATGGAGCATTGATATTCCATGCCGTACGCGGGAGGTTATTTTAGCAGAGCGCCTAAATCAATTGCGAACGTTGGAATTTCTATTCCCGAGATTGCAAAAGATTTCGTAGATCGTCACGTAATGAAAGCGACGATTTTATCGTTCGCCAAGACGCTCTGTCATAGATATGGCTAGTGTCTCGTTATCTCGCGGTTGGGCAATTAAAGAGACCGGAATACCGGATGGTTCCTCTCGAGACGAGCGATTTCGACCGATCGAGGAACTCACCGACCAGCTTAACGAGTCGATACGATTGCCTCTCGAAATAGATAGCGAAAATCGCGTTATTCCGATGAAAAATAGAAGCCCGATCCATCGCCAAACAGCGATTGTTTCAATTTCGAATACAGACATTCGATGGGAAGACCGGATAACGAAGAAAAAATGAAACAATGTGGTATAAAATGCAGCACGCCGCAACGGATCGAAAGCGGCGCTCTATTTCAAAGCTATTTCCATGCATCCTATCCGAAATGGGGGCGTTTTATAGCCAGCATTATCAATAACAGTTCTTTTTAATTGGATAGAAAAGGAAAACAATCAACCGGCCAGTGGTATTATCCGCGAGGAAACAAAGAGTTCAATGAAAGTAATTCGAGTCACAGGCTGAAAGAATTTCATCGATTTTTTTTTCCCCCCCCGGCCGTCGTGTCACGTGGACCCTTTTTTCCATCCCCGCAGCGGACTGCGAACGATTTATCAAAATTTCGGATCCCGATAACGGCGAAATTTTCAATCGACTTCTCGTGTGCGTGCTCACCATTAGGGACAGGGTTTGGGAAACAAACCGCGCATAAAGATAATCAACCCGGCTACCGCCGGTATTCATCAAATTTCACCGATATCGCCGGCCAGCTTGGAAAAAGGAAAAGCCAGCCGGAGCCTATTTTCCTGCTCCCGATCAATCCGTCTCGCACCCCGCGGATAAAGGAAACCGTTCTCGGATCGTTCGGGAAAAAATGTTCTCTGACACGCATTGTTTTGCAACACGGGCAACTGTGCACCGCTGAAATGGAACATGGTTCGCGTCCATGCCAAAACTACGACCTCGATATTCCACCTCTGACGGGACAGTGACTTTTTTTCTATTACCACGGGACCCATCCGTGTATCTCTCGCGGATAAATCGAAAACAGAAGTAAATTTTCGACTCGATTCCCTCGATTTAATCAGCCATTCGACCGAAGGTTATAATAATTGAGCCTCGAGATCGCGGGTCTGTGTCTCGTTGTATCAGTTTTTCGATCGTGACAGATCGCCGGTGATTAATAAACGCGATACCGCGAATACGATAAATTGCCTGGCGTAATAGTCGCACGGGATATAATAATAATGCGTGTGTTTCGCGAAACGACACTTTGCCGCGTGATTTACGTTCGAGGATACACGCAGATTCCGCGGTGGGAGAAGACTAACGTGGCACTATCATAGAAACGCCGCCGGGACAAAGTTTACGCCGGAGCATTATTTCCGCGCGTAATTTTCTTCTTGGCTTATTGCGAACTGCATTCGTTCGTTGTTCTTACCGGTGCTTGGGACAATTTCACCGAAACCATGAATTATTCATACTGTAAACATTCGTTCTTACCCCGTAGCTATCAGTCTGTCCAGTACCATGTTCCACTTTTTGCACAGCGTATTTTAATCGGACCCGTTCCGTCTTTCGTACCTTTATCATAGAAACGACCGTACAAGATTCCTCCCTCACGGCAATTATTATTTCCCCTTCCCGCGGAAAGTCTAGGTACGTGAAAAAAGGAAGGAAATTTGCGAAACGAAGTTTGCGCGCGCGAAACAACTATGGTAACGAGTTGGAGGCGTTAGCGCGCGGTTAGCCGGAGGTTAAGACGGGGTTTCGAGTTAATTTCCATAGATTTGCGGCACGCAGGGCGAGAGGGTGCTTTTCACGATGTGCGATCGCTTCGAAAGGGCAACGCAGACGAGGGATCGGCGCGGCTCCGTTGTAACGAGGCCACGTTATGTCAGCCACCCTTGCTGCGAAGGGATAGTCAAACAACCCCCTCGCAGTTTACGGCCGTAATTAACTTCCTAGGTTATTAGCCCTGGTTCGCGGTTGTAGCTCGCTACTCTACAGGACCCTGTCTCGCGACTCTTTGCAGGGATAATCCACCCCTTCCTCTGCCTCTCTGCAACCCCTCTCCGTAGCTGCACTTTCATCCGACGCGGAGCAGCATTTTTCCACGAGCCTTCGTGCCCGGTGCCCGGTTCCATTGTTAGCTGGTAAATCGGGAAATTGGTTAATCGACGATTCCATGGGAAATTAATAACCGATAGAAAAGTAAGAACCGCGCTTGCACATCGGCCACGTTCGGCGGGCTGCCGATCGGCGCCGTATATAAACACGAAAAATACATCAGAGCGAAAATCGTTAACGGAATCGGTGGTATTTTCCGGGGAAATTTCTGCCGACAGCGTAGCTATTAAGGCACGTGAAACGCGTGGAACGTCGCGATCGACGTTGAACAAATTGCATGGAAACGAAAGAGAATAGCCGGAACTCGGCCATGGGGAAAAGCGGCGACTCGTTACACGCGTAATGCTAAACAGTCGCGCATTCGGGACAGCAAATTAATTAACCCGCGCATGCATTATTATCGAAAGCACAACACGCGACCGGGCAATGCGATCCTAATTAAATTTTCAGTACGCAACAGCCCATCCGGTAAATCAACATAGTTGGAATACCGCGAAATAAAATGGAAGCACGTTCTTCGAATAATTGCGACGACGCGTACACGCGCTCCGCGGAACGCGTCATCGGTGGTAGCTGATAATGAAAAAACTTCGTTTCGAGTTTACGACCCCGTCGCGCGGCTATTTTCAACGCCGAAGAAATTTATAGTCCAATTACGGGGCAAAATTCGTCAGCCATCGCGATCGGAATTCTTTTTCGTCGGTGTCCAACATTGCGTGAAAACCAGCAACGAGCGCAGTGACGCGAGCCAGGAATTATTACATACATACATCGAAAACAAAGAGATTATACCGAGTACGTGTTCCATCCGGGCGCAGCAGGCGGGTCGTTGTTCTCGGGTATTTCGTCGGGACTGGTCCTAAGTGACTCCGAAGCAATGTCTGGCAGCTCGTTACAACGGGTCGCGGACTCGAGAGCGTCCCCGCGAGTAGAGAATTTCGTGCGAGGAAAATGAGATGGCGAACTAGCGAGGTTGCGAGCGCGATGGTCGGCCCCGACGCTGAAGGGTTTTCGTTAGCTGCGAAGAATTCGCCGGCACAAAGGCGTCTCTAGCTTAGACGCGACATTGTGCCGGGAAAGTGGCTACGGTCCGAATAACGCGCGTCCACTGTAATTCCGGAATAACGTGGCGGCGGCTTCTCCGTGAAACCGCGAAGATTGCCAGCCTTTATGCAGTCCTGTCGGACCCTTCTTCGCCCTCGTACGTTCCAATTCTACCTCTCCTTTTGCCGGTAAATTTTTTCCCCGGTTGCTTGATGTTTCAGCGAGGAAACTCGGGGCCTGGTGCGAGAAGTTATCCGGCAGCCCGTGGAAAAATTGCTGCAGGCGAGGGAAATTGAAATGCGAGGAGCGACAAAGAGAGGTGGGTTCGATTGTTCGAACCTGTCCTAACCGGTGCCGATCTTCCCCTTACGTTTCCTCCGCTTTGATATTTCGCTGCGTGGAATTTAATCAAGGGAATCGCGGCGATGGATGGGCACGAAATGAATTAAGATTCAATCGATGCAGGCTAAACGCTTTCCGATGCATCTCCGTGCGGCGAAATTTTTCCCAGCTTTTCCTTGAACAGCAAGACCCGCAATCTCGAAAAGTCCAATTTCCACGGAAGCTCGTCCGCTTGGACCGAGCTCGCCGAGCATGGTCCGGTGTATATGTAAGTTTTGCAATTCATATTTTCGAGTAAAAACCGTCTCTAAAGGCCGCGTCGCCTCTCAAATGGAAATTGCCGTGGCCAGTTTTGTAGCGACAGCTGGATATAGAATTAAATACCGGCGTGATAGAATCTCGCGCGAACGAGCAGGAGAAAAGTCATCGGCGTCAGAAATTGACCAAAGTATTTGTTCTCGCAACGGAATCGACCGGGATTGCCCGGGTTCTTTCTTCTCGATCGTCGTTGTTTCTCCCCGCGGGAAAATATTTTCCCTGAAAGGGTGCGCCGGTAACCAACCGGAGAAAGAGGAACCTACACGCGCGAGCCACTTGGCGAATGATGCACGGCGAAATGGCTGTTCCAATTAAAACTGTTCATTAA